CCAATTTGACTCTCTTTTATGTCAGTCACAGATTGACATTTAGTGCTCATATTCTAGAGTATCAGAGCAAGGAGACGTACGGTTTTGGAGATATGGGTCTATTGGTTTGGCAGCTACTGTATTTCTTGTATGTAACAGTGATGACAAAAACAGATAAGCAGCAAGGCAAATTATGGACTTTAAATTCCATTTGTTTAGTAATCAAAGACTTCGTACACTATGAACTCCATTCATAATGGTAATATGAATGACAAGCTTTGTAACAATGACGCAGTGCACACAACATGTCATCATTGTTATGTACAAGAAAGGATACACATTGGACATTATCATTAACAACACATCACAATAGTGAAAGGCTGTACAAATAGTTAAATACAGTTATCAAAGCCTCAGTACCAGAAAAACACATGTGTAAAACAATTTTTAAACTAATATGAGGCAAAAGCACAAAATCAATTGAGCTGACTTGTACATAACAGTGATGACAGACATGACTTGTACATAACAATGATGACACAATGTACAGGAAAAGACAAAAGTCTTGCCTCCAGAGAGAAAAGCGCACTTTAAGAATAAAAAAACCCAGGAGAGGTTTCTTTTGCTTTGAAACAGATACCAGGTCATATCAAAGACAGTCGACAATCACAATTACGTTGCTAATTATGACAAAGAGTACTTGTACATAACAGTGATGACAAAACATACTGGGAAAAGATAAAATCATGCCTACAAAGAACAAATTTGCACTAAGAGATACACAGATCAATAAAGGCGTATTTTGTTTCTAAATGAATCTTGCATGTATGAAATATATATTGAAAACTTATTGATATTAGCAATTATGAAAAATATTACTTGTACATAACAATGATGACACAATGACACAATGTATTGGGAAAAGGCATATCATGCCAACAAAGAACAAATGTGTACTTTTGAGTTAGACAGATAAACAAGGACATGTTTGTCTATTTGTTTGAGTAAAAAGAGCACACATGACTTAAAAAATGTTTGCTTTTAGGACAATGTAATTTCTAGTACGTCGGTCAGTCTTGTACGGCTGCATGACGACACCCCAAACGTCATCACTAAGCACAAAAGCTAAATCTATAACCACAGAAATGATCCATCTCTCGAAGTTTGTTCACACATCACACTCTTGTTCCAGGAATCCAATGTAAACACCACAATTTCACTAAAATATTCAATAGGGTAGCCTAAAAACACGCAAAACAATCCAGTACGTCACATTCAACTAAAGATTCTTGTGCGTAACCGGAGGGTGACGGCAATGACTACTTTCGTTTTTCTCTTTACCCTGTTACTCCCGCTGTTCTGGGGGAGCGGGTAAGGGGAAGTCACTCAAGAAAACAATTATATCGCAAAGTGACGCCATTAACGGTGAATGTTAAACAGCCGACCGAAATCGTAGATCTAGGAACCCGATGTTCCTTTCGCGCATCGCGGCTTTTGAACTATTCAATAAACGACGAAAAGCAAAAAGATTTAACCAGCTGTGGTGATTCTACTGAAAAATAATGGTGTTTTCTGAAACTCCTAGGCCGTGACGACACCACTGACGCACAAGTGATCCGAATTATTCATTTATTTGCAAACAAATAAACTGATTTCTTGAGCAAGTGAACCTTTCTCGATCACAAATAGCATAGAATCAAAGCACAGGTTAAAAAAAACAAGCCAAAAATACTAAATTTTTGACATTCTTGGAAGTTTGCATTGGTGTGCTCAAAATGACACTCCAGGAATCACAAAAAAACGAACATTTTTGGCACAAAATTTACAAATTCAAGATTATAAAGCTGACATAGGGTCTGAAACTGCTAATGCAGGTTCTACATCCTATATTTGACATGTGTACAATTTTTGGAGGAATAAATACTAATGCATCACATTTTATGCACACTATTGTGAGATGTGTGTGTTTTCCCCCACGTTTTGGCAATGGCTCATATATATATATATACATACACATATGGCCACTAAAATCCTCACAAATCACTTGTCCAGAAATATCAAACCATTTCCAAAACATCAAAATTATGGTAACATACAAGGGCGCATGCTGAAACCCCATAAATTTTTTTAACAGGGGGGTATGGCCAAGTTTATGTGTAATAAAAACTAGTGAAATGTACAATTGGGCCTTATAGAATTTGTTTCCTAAAATAAAAGCATCATGTTCACAAACGGTGGAATGCAGTATTATAACATGGATAGCTCGAATTCGTCGGGACAGGCCTCGGTAGTTCGAAGAATCCGTAGTTCGAGAGAAATATGTAACAGGTATAAAGAAGAAAAAAAAAGGGACCGCAGACACAGTTGGAAGGATGCGTGATTTCAAGTCTTCAGCGTTCAACCAATACGTGTTATACTGTATTTATAAAAAGTCAAAATTTGTGTAAAGCAGATAGAAATGAACAGGAAAAGTGCTTTAGAATATCTATAAATAAGATGGGTCTATATAAAAGTAAAATATGAACCAGAAGCACAAACTTTAAAGTTCTTTAAAATTCTTTGAGACACCACAACATGAATCAACCTACCCACAAACACTGCAATAAAATTGTATAATGTTACCAACTTTGGTCTAAATCTAAATGCCCCCTGTACTTTCATCACTGTAGCAAATCAGAGAGACTTCACAGTAGACCATGGTCGATCGGGTGGGACCAGGGACGAACGTTAGCTTGTTTGACAAGGTAATCAAAGTGAGAGGAAGAACCAGGTAGAAATGAGCCCACACACGAAAAACTTTCCGAAAATAGGAACGTAATTAACAAAACTTCTTATTGGAGGCGGCATCACTCAGTTGCGAATGAAAACAAATCCTGAATTCATATAATTGTATGTTCACCCGTCAAAATTAAAAATAATCGAGATGATAAATCATGATTTTATTCCTACTGTGGGCAAAATGTAATTATAAATGTTTAAAACGCTGTGTGAATAATGGTCTCAAGATTTTTCACCAGCAAATCTAAAGTTAAGATGTGAATACACAAACAGAAGCCGGCTAAGAAGCAGAGATGACAATATTAAAATTAATTATGTATTAAAATTAGTAATTTGGCTTCAAATTTGGATGTCTTTGTCTTGGTTAGCTTTTTGTGGCGAGGAAATCATATCTGGACCTGATCGTAGAGCGGTAAAAAGTTTAGGGGAAAAAAAGAAGCACTCATAGCAGCCACAAGATATTTAGGAGTTCACCCCCCTTATCTCTTTGAGGTGGACTTGACTTTACCAGTCCAATTGTTAGCTTACATAATCAGTGCTTGTGACTGCTTTAAATAAAAGTGGCTCAAAAAGGGTGAACAGGGTATGATGCAATGAAACAATTTTGAGTGTTGTGCACATAGGTCAAATTTAAATTATTTAAATTTATAAAGCCAACATCTATGGGTGTATTGTGTATTTGACGGAGATTATGTTCTCAAATGACGGAAGGGAATTAGTGATTATTTAATTATGAAAGTGTAGACGTTTCACCCCTGGGTGGGACTCCGGTAAACCTTCAGCTAAACCAGCTCCTTGTATCTGTAGTCTAATAGTTATTTTGAGGCTGTGTAAAGCAAATTTAAGCATAGAGACTGAGCTTAAGTTCATGTTTTGATTAATTATGTTTAAATCAGATGTACTTCATGCCTGTCCAGACTACAATTTGTTTTTTTATTGTAGTATTCATCTCCGTCTTCGGTGACCTTAATCACCCTGGCAGCTGTGACGGAACCTTTCACCCAAGGCACTTTAATTAGCTTTCATTTAGGAATGTTAAGCCTGATTAAATTTTGAAACGTCCGGTTGTTTGTTTGCTGTTTAGGGTTCTTACACGTATAGTGTTATGGCATTACAACCATTTCAAAATTATCTTTTTTTGTAAATTAAAACTAGATAACTAACTCTCAAAGATGTTTCAGTCATATTTCGAATATTTCATACTTTGGGATTAGTACATGATTTTTATGTCGTATAATGGATTGTGTTTTAACTAAGAACCTGGTCAATACGAAATAGACCGTGTTCAAAGGTGGTTTTAAGGGGCACAGCTTAACTCTTATTCTTTGACTTCCCTTATTTCTTCTATGGTGAATTAATGGCCTGTAGGCAATACTCTTGCTCATTGGGAAATAAAGAAGGGGAGATAAAAAAAAGTTAAATAAAAAACACAGGTAAAAATATATTTGGCTATTTGTATGAGTGGTGTATGTTGTTATGGGTGCAAGTGAGAACCAGAGAACTATGGTTTGATAACTTATTGAAACAAATAAACAGCATCTGTCACAATGCTATGCTAATGAAGGGAAAGAAATGACTGTGAATGGGTCAGCTTTTTTTAAGGTCCAATGCACACCGACCTTTATATTTAAGATTCATAATTTTCTGAGAGAAGATAAAGGAAAATGTTAAGTTAAATTCACAGAAAAACTAGAGTTTCATGAAATTCGATCAAGTTTTGATGTCTCTGCTAAATATTCCAGGATAAGTGTTCGAATGCAACCAAGCCTTTAAACAAGCGGTCTCAGTCATGAATTCTAAATGTATTACGATAGAAATTTGTTGACAGTGGAGTTGCAGCTTTTGTTAATTAAACACACATTTGTTTGAATTGAATTTCACTCTGCATACAACTCATCATTAGTCTTTTGAGGGGCAGGACTTACAAACTGACATCCTCAATAGTCAATGGGAACGGACACATTAAAAACTCTCTGAAACACAATTGTTTTTGCTGAGATTCAGATCTGCATTACCTGCACAATATTATAGGCCTAACGGCACTCTTGTCTTCAAAAAAAGGAATGGACATGCACATAACTAAAATAATTTTTTTTAAAAATCTGGTTTTATTGTTAGGAGAAATATTCAACGAAATTACTGATGCCCACAGTTAAACAGTTGACGCCACCCAGCTCCATTGATCTGCTTGAGTGAATGGAAACTCAGAATTGTTTTTCAAGAGAGTCATTTTTTTCTTCCAGCCCCATCAGTTTGATGAGTGCAGGTTCGATGTCAGCGTAAATGACAGCGTTTGGTACCTCAGAGCAGCAACGCCTGAGGAAAGACAGACTTGGATTGATGCCATTGAGCTGCATAAGGTACATGTGATTTACCTTTCTCAGCAACACTCTGTTGAGGGTCTTGACGATTGTGAATTGATTGCTTGTTTCTATTGATCTTCCTTTTGTGTGTGTGTTTGTGCGTTTGTGTGTGTGAGGGCTAAATCGTAAGTACCCGCTTACAAAATGTGATTTCTATATTTGCACAGATGTTGCATACTAGTGTATACATGATTAACTGATGTGATTGATTTTTCTGACTTGTTCGCTCTAGATAAAATGAGACCATTGACCCAAAGGGGGGATATTAACATGTTCTTATGCACTGTAGAATTGAAAATGGGTTGATATATCAATGTCATGCTCATTCTGTGCCGGAACAACATAGGGGGAACTGCTGCTTTTTCTTTCCTCATCCTTACTATTGTCCTTTGTTCCTCTACTTCTTTTGTATGTTTGTCACTCTCTTGTGAACTTCTGTTTCCGGGGTGCCTTGATAGTCGAAGTAGACTTTGTGATTTTGAGGCTAGAGAGGTGAGCAGAGTAAGCATGATTCCCTGTATGGACTTCTCAGTTGACATCCACCCTTGGCGCTCATATGACCTTATGCTGCTGCGAGCGTCGTAAAACCATACTAAAACAACAAAACAGACTATTGAATTTCATAAGATGTCATGATTTTTTTTGCTTTATGCTCTTAGCAGTTGTTTTTATATGGGTTTAATGGTGTACAGGGCATAGATAGGTCAATTAGAAGATGTGATCCCTCATTGTGGGTTGAGTATATCTGTTTTTTGGGGTTTTTTTTCTAGATCGAACCTTTCTTTCCTCCTTTATTTGGTGTTTGTTCTCTCTTGTAACATAACACCTCAAATCTTCGGCTCTAATATGACCTTTTTTTGTTGAAAGTCCCATAAAACTCTTATTAAAACCAAGAAAGAACCCTTAATTTACGTTTAGAAACTTAAATGCTGCTACAAGCATCCCCTTCTGATTCTACCTGAAATATTGTTGTTCCACTGGTTAGTCAGTTGAACATGTTATAAACAGTTGTGAGATCACTTGCTTGTTGATAAAAGATGATGCATCATTATATCATTATCAGGGTATGACAATTTGGGGTTGAGGGTAGACAATTTGGAATGAATTTGAAATGTCAGTCTTTTTTTTATGAGTGGTCTAACTCAGACTTTCTGTCCGACTGACATAGAATGGTCACAATGAAGAAAAAATGCTATTTATTTTCGATGAACGCTGTATTTATTTAATTTGATCCCCTATTTATTTCTCCTGATAGAATTACTTATGGCAAGAGCAGTTCCTTCTGTCCTTAGTGCGCCTACCTCATCTCTTTTTTCAGACTGATATAGTTTATGAAAACCTTTGCGTTTTGTGTCCGAGTTGTAGCAGAATGTTGTGGTAGATTAGATGTACTTAGTTCTATGAAATGTAAGACATATATTCTATTATCTCACCGCATATATTTTCTGATAAACATGGATAGAATAACAGTATTCTGCTTGTCTAGTCTTAGCTCCCTTGAGATTTTATATGTTGTTAATGGATACCTTGTTCAACGTGCACTAGCATTCACTCCTGATTTTAAACCTTAAAAAAAATTAAAATCCTTTTAATCCTTTTTATTTTTATGTGACCACTCTATTAGGTTTAGCCTACATAATAAAATGTGTCACGACGCGATGGAATCAGGCTCTCGTCAATTTTGTGCATGTAGAGTTATTGGTGGTATCATCTTAAAGCATGTTCATTTGTCTTGCTTTGGATGAAAAAAATATCCATTTATCTTGAATGGAAGTCAAGATATTTACGAATGATGGAGGTGGGGTTCACCTGGTTTCAGAGGTAAAATTAGTGAGAAAATTTCCACCAAAGATGAGTTATTTCCTTAGCTTGAGAGTCTATGGAGACTGAAAATTTACTTTTTTTGTGCCTTTAATTTTGGTTTTCAGTAAAATCTACTCAGAAAGGTTTAGAGCCACAAAACAAAAATTGGAAAAAAATTCACAAACCTGCGGAAAAATGCCAGTTTTTTCACTTTGATTATTTTGACGAGCGCTTGATTTCACTACGCTGCCTCACAAATATTAATTTTCATTATTTTTTTCCGAACAAGATTTCTAGCCTCGCCAGACTTTTGCACATTAAAAAACTGAAAAATATTGTACCAATGCATGGTTATTATATTTCCCTTAAAGAAAATATATATTTTGCTTGTGTCATTCTTTAAAAAAAAACCCAGCTTCCAGTGTTTTCCTGGTGCTGTCCTCATTTTTAATGTGCATTTTCCTGAAAACGGGGAGAATGTTCATACACTGGGCAATTAATTTTTCCAGTTGCTGTGCTCAACAATCGGTTAATAAAGAAAAAGAAAAAAGTTGTATTGTTTCACCATCAGCAGGCAGACTCCAGCTATGGCAGTGAGAACAACCTTCGGCGCCATGGCTCGATGCTCTCTCTGGCCTCGGGGACAAGCATATCCCAGGCATCGACATCGTCATTCAAGGTGTGTAGTAGACCAGATCTCTGTCTGCTCTCTGTCATTGGTCTGCTATATCAATCGTTCTTTGAATGAATAGCCAAGATGTTAAACAAGATTTTTTTTTTTAAAGGCCGAAGGGTCAAATGGCTTTGTTTGGGGCTACATTTTCTTGTTACATGTCATTTTAAGAAAATATATTTGAGGTGTAATGGGGAGGAGCAGAAAAAAATCTATAAGTTTTATTTTCTGTTCAAATTTTCACCTGCTCCTAGTCCATTTTATATTGATGCTCTTCTCTTGAGTTCAACCAGAAAACGTTTAACTTTTTGTGCATGTTATCATCAATGTACAAGTGAACCGGGCAATTTTTGCTCTCTGCCACTCAGTGATAAATAGGAGGAAACAAAAATACATAGCATTGTAGAGAGTTACAGGATAATAATAGAAGTCCTGTTTGCCCTAAGGCTTGCATATTTGATTAGCTGCTTTCATTTCTATGAAACCATTTGTGAACATTTTTCATGCGGCAAAGTAATCATAAGTGATCAGATAATGTGTTATGTATGTATGTATGCAAAAATTTGGTATATAAATTAACTATGTAAAAGGGATGAGAATGTGTGTGTACATACTTGGATGTAGTTATCCTTGTTGAAGTGAAGGTTTGTGTTCTATTCTGTAGCTTTCCCTTGGTTATAGATGTGTAGCAGATTCATTTGAAAAAATTGTGATAATTGTTTTCTGTGGCAAAAGTGACTATGGTGAGTGAGTGGTTGACAGGTGCTCTGGTGGGGTTTGCTATCTGTTGTCGTTATCTTTTGTCTTTCTTTTATTTTGTACGTTATTCTTGACACTCATCTGACCTATATGTGATGCAAGTGCCATGAAAGCCTTACTAAAAGCTAAGAACTGACTATGGTATTAAATGAAGAATAGATTGTTGGGTTTGTGCTTTTTATGCTTTTTTAAAACTGTCACTTTACCTGTGGCCTTGTTATCAGTAAAAAACGATGTGAAGAATGAAAGTTAATGGGCCAAAAGGATATGGCTTTGGAAACACTCATGTTTTGTTTAGTCAGTGATACTAAAAATACCCAAATGAGTCTTGCTGTTTCAAATGGATAAGAATCAAACAAATAAGGAAGTGGCAGTCGCTGGTTGTATGATGACTCATAATGTAAATTTGTCTTGTCTATTCACATGGCTTCTTCAGCGGGGACGTGGGTTGAAGGAAAAGCTGGCAGAGATGGAGACTTTCCGGGACATTCTCTGCCGACAGATTGACACCTTGCAGAGTTACTTTGACTCTTGTGCATCTGCTGTGACGCATGGGGCTGTACAAGAGTGTAAGCTGACCTCAGAATGATACATCTTTGATTTTGTAATTAGCACACATATTGGGGATAAATTTGCTGTCTGAAAGTTTTTTCTCTTAAGTATCAAGTCATCAGGCTTGTAATCACTTTTGTATGATGTTATGTTTTTAGAAGTAGAGTTGATCTTACCTGTACTTTCAATGATGAGCTGGAAAACTCCTTTATTCACTGCAATTTGGGTCGTATTGACGGGTTGTGAAATGTATTCTTCACATGGGTTCACTCATTGTATGAACTATATGATCAATGAAGGCTAACTGTATATTATGTGTATAACTCTTTACATTAAATGTTTCCATTAATGAATGGGTGTTTTTTTTTAGCATATATGAAAATATGAATTCTATATTTTTTTTGGTCTAAACATGCATCATGTGTTTGCCGGATACTTTGGGCCAGTTACTCAGGAAACTATGACCTTTTTTCTTCATTGATGAACTGTTCTTTACCTTTGATTTTCTTCTTTTAAAAGTTTCATAGTGTTCAGTTGTAGTTCGTTTCTTTTGTCAGTTTCTATGGTTTGCAATACTTTCTTTTTTTGGTAAATGATCAAAATTCTTACAACATTTTGTGTAGTATTATAATGGAAGACTACAGCTTTTCATTGTGAGGGTCCAGGAGGAACTTTTTTGGACTTTTTTACCCTGGAGGATAAGTGCAGTTGAAATTGGTTACTGGTTTCTCTGATGGAAAAAACTTTCAGCATATTCAACAGTGAGGGAATCAGTGTTCTTAGTTTATCAAAGTCAGTGTAAGACTGAGAGGACAACAGTGACTGGTGTTTGTGAGCTTAGGAGAGGATATGTGTTGTATCTTTGTTTTCAACCCAATCTTTTTTGTGGTCAGTCACCAACTTGGCTGTTGAAAATTTTGCTATAATTTTTGCTTTGATTTTATTTTGTTAAAATGACTACTTGAGTATGCCAAGGTTCATCAAGTGTCTTTTAAAAAAAATCTCTTTTATTTTGCCTGTTGTCCAGGCTGTTGTCTGCTATTATGAAGTTACATGCCTCTTTGACTCGAACAAATACAAGGAATATAATAAGTGTTCCCTATTTAATCTGTTAAAAAAATATGGCTCACTTTTAGAGTGAGCTATAAGCTGAGTCTCAGCTTTGGTCTTATATCGTTACTTCTTTTTCTCCAGTGTTACTAGTGTCCTGGTCTGCTTCTTGGTGTACTGTGGTTGCTATTATGTATTAGTGTAAAAAAGCTCAACTACTTACCATGTCCTTGATGATTTCAGTCAGCTGGTTTATAACAGAATTAAATTTTATTTATTTTATTCTTACAGTTTTTATATCAGGGGAGATGGATGTTCAAATTTTCTTTTGACTTTTTTTTAACACAGTGTCAGAGCATGATGATTTAGATGATGATCTGGACTTACCACATAGTGCCTCTGCTCATGACGTGCACTCAAGTCACAGACTAGAAGGTCTCAAAGGCAAAGATTTAGGTAAGTACATTCTTCTTTCAGGGAGTTCAGCAAGGTCGTAAAAAAATCGTAAATTCAGTGCCCTGATCGTAAAGGTCGTAAATGGTAGTAAATGTGCCATGACAGTAGTAAACAGTCGTAAATTAAACCTGCGTACAAAGTAATGAGCCCGGCAAGACTTTTTAGAGAATAGAGTCTTAGCCGCGGTACTCAGCGATTACAAAGTCCCATCTTTTGTAGAGGCCTGACACTCTAGACAGCTTGTCGCGTTGCATGTCTTTTATTCTTTGTATTTGCCGTCATTTTGAGGGATCGATCTTAGTAGTAGTATCAGTATCGCAGAACTCAAATATTTGAAAACCAAATCCGATAAGGTCAGTAAGTTCATTTTTGCTGGTTGCGATTGTGATATAATATTCGTTCAGTTTTTTTCCGGTCCGAGAGTACGTTTCACGCGAACAGGCGGCAGACGGAATTGTATGAGACTCCGATTGGGAAAATCAAGATCTACTTTCGCTTTCGTTACCACTCAGAAATTTACCGGCGATACTTTGATAACGCAACATTTGTAACAAGCAGGTTGCGCAATATAGACGCTGTGTCGCCGTACACATAAAATTTAATCAATACTCGGACTCATCACTGTGCTGTCACTTATGGAGAAAAGAAAAAGAAACAAAAAAATAAGCTCTGTCCGATTTTTAGATTGTCGGGCTCGCCATCGTGACCGTTCAGTGAACCTGCGCGCTTGCGCCTCGCATTATAGGCCTAGGACTATGAATAGGGGAGGGGATTATTGATTTTTTTTTTAAAGATACACTCAGGGGCAGGGCTGAAGGCAACATCAGAGGACAAAAACTTGGATGCAAATTTAAGAATTTTGTTTAGATGTAGAGCTCTCTACAAAGCGCTTTGGTGCAAGCCATGTATGGAATTGGGATCTTTCATCTTGTAAGCCGTGTTATTGAACTAAAGTGTGTGCGTTTCATTGGATGGGTGATAGTAAATTATAACTATATTGTAGCTTTCTGTTCAAGGCTGGCAGATTTTCAGTGTCATTGCATCTTGCCCTCCCTCAGTTGTTACAACTTTCACACTGCATGGGTCTACTTGAGCCATTCAAGTTATTGCTCTACTTTGAGTTTGAGCAATACTTTTTGTCTTTCATGTTCATAATATGAATCATGACACCCAGACTGGTTCTTGACAGTAGATATTCTGGTTCTAGGCCCTTCCGTATGCTCAAAGCAGGATTCTTTTTTTAAATAATGATGAGAGGAAAATATTACAGACTGAAATGCTTAAGTCAAACAAGACCCCAGTGCGACACTGACATGTTGTTAACTGGATATATTGTGTGTGTGTGTGTGTTGTTATGTAACATGCCCGTGGAAAATGGATGACCCCCTGGAAAATTGAGAAGCCTGTTTGGCAGTCACCCTGTGTGCATGCATTATATCTAAATCAAGCGGCGAGCTAGCGTGCGATCATCTGTCTATCCTCCATTTTGTCAACTGGACTTTGTTGTGTGTTATTTTTGTTCCATACACATAAGTAATATTAATATGTGAGGCAGCGTGGTGGAATCAGGCTCTCGTCAATTTTTGGGCATATTGAGTTATTGGTATCATCTTAAAGCTTGTTCATTTGTCTTGCTTTCAATGAAAAAATTACCCATCCATCTTCAATAGAAGTGGAGATATTTTGGATTGAAGGAGGTGGGGGTCACCTGGTTTAAGAGGTAAAATTAGTGAGAAAATGGCCGCCAAAGCTTGGTAAATTCCAAAGCTGGAGAGTCCATGAAAACTGTAGATTTATATTTTTGTACCTTTAATCAACGTTTTCGGTGAAATCCTCAAAGGAATGTGTTCGTAAATGGACATAAAAGGTGTTGAGCCAAAAAGCAAAAGTTTGATAAAAATTGCGAATCAGGGAGAAAACTGCTGTTTTCTTCAATTTCATTATTTTGACGAGAGCCTAATTCCACCACGCTTCCTCACATATGTTATTGATGGCGCAAATGAACTCCCTTTTTGAACAGGTGTGGGGATTGATTTTCTGGGTAGTAATTTTTTTTTTCTAGGAAGTAAATTTTTTCAGGGAAATGTTTTTTGATTGGCAGTACTGTAGATCTTTGCCAGATATTGCATACGAGTAATTCATAGTAAAAGTAAAATGCAATGTTTTTAGGTGTATGATGGTACCGAGAAGTACTTGGAAAGGAAAGGTAGTGCATGTTTTGTTAATGCTGTGTAATAGGTTCAATACTGTTTCCTGTGCTTTTAGTTCTGACTTTTTACTTTTGAATAAAAAATAACATTGGTTACATTCAGGAATATATGGTTGCTTTTAAGGACAAGGGGGCTATCCCGAAAATTACTGTTTTGAGAAAATTGAAGGTAAAGTTTTTGCCCTTGTTCAGTTTCTTTAAAAGACAAGGAGAGCTTTCTCTATAACCAAACAAAGATACACACCAATGAAACCAAAACTTCTCCTATAGGTAGGGCGATGCCCACTTTTGGTGTAGGTCAAGATTTCTGGAAACCACCGAAATATGGGTTAGCTCGCTTGTCCTTAAAAGCGACCATATCTTGTCAGTTTACAATACTAAAATTTTAGTCCTCATTTCAGCCCACAATTGCTACTGGGCCTTGAACTGTTTGAGTTTTCTGATTCGTTTTTTTTTTTTTTACAAAGCGTTTTTTTTTCTATCACAAAAAACAGAGGAATGACAAATACATCTGTGGCTCACTACTTCTGTCTGGAGAATTATTTCTAACAAGTAAATTGCATCAAACAATTATTTTACAACCATTTATTTGACAGAGGAATACAGTTTGACTGAGGAATACAGAGAAGTCAGTGAGGAAGTTTGAACTGGAAAGTCCGATCACTTTCGCCATCTGTACTTTTGATTTTAGAAAATGTTTGTTTTTCATAATCTTACCGCAGCAACATTCATCTAACAATGTTAGATGCTTATTTATTATTTATTTTATTTTTTGTTGTAGTCCATTATGTCTTTTTTTGTTTTTGTTTGCTCTGTAGCATCCATACTACAGCAGCATGGGGGGCATGCTGTGGACTTCAAAGGAGAAGCCTTCACCTTCAAAGCCACCACAGCAGGGATCATTGCGACTCTGTCCCACTGCATAGAACTGATGGGTCAGAGAGAAGAGGCTTGGAAAAAGAGAATGGATAGAGTGAGTGCTCTTTGGTTTCATTTTTTTGGGGGGGGGGGGGGGGGGCAGAAGTGGGAATGGTGTAGAAGAGTGCACCCCTCATATTTTATGTGAGGAACTTCAAGGGAATATGGTAAATAGCAGTATAAATGCTTTATTTTGTTATTGCTATTTAAAAAAATGATTTTCATTATGCAGTTGTTTAAGATTTATATAAATGTACAAATGCTTTTTATGAAACATCTATCGTCCTGATCTCCCCTCCTTCTATTTTGTGTTTGTTTCTCTCTTATAACACCTCTAATCTTCGGCACTTATTGTGTTGCAAGTGCCGTAAAACTCTTTCTACTAAACTTTTTATGATGCAACTACTTTTGTTTGTCTGCAGGAAGTGGAGAAACGGAAGAAGTTTGAGGATGCATACAAAACCTTAATGTCCGACAGGAACAAGAAAGTCATTGTTGGAGGACCAGACTATGAGGTTTGTGTTGAACTTGGGTGTGTACTTGTGGAATAAGAATGTAAAGTAAAGTCTCTGTGTTTGGAGTCGACAAAGTATGTCCTTGGTTAGAGAGTGCCTTTGATAGGGTCAAATATTCTCCCCTTCTTCTGTTATTTTGGTGTGTTTTTTTCTTTTGTGTATTATTGTCTGGCCTCTAAGGCATCGTTCATTGATGACCCTGGCAGACATGCTGTCGTTTAAAGGCAGAATCCAAATGGTTTTAAAAAATGTTCTCATTCTGCGAAGAATTTTTTTCATCATTTCCCAGCGTCTCAGTGAATGCTTTTAAAAATGATATGGTAAGATGCATGTACCTTAAAAGAATTAATTTACTTCATGACTATGTCAATGCATATCTGCTTCTCTGTACTTCTAGTTAACATATTTAGTTACAAACTACATTATGGTTATATCTCATTTTAGACCATGTACAATGTTTTGCTGGATTCTTTTTTTCTTGAAAGAATAGTAATTATTTTCTGTGTGAGTATATTTGAAACATATCTCTTGTGTATACATAATTTTGATATTATGATAAGGTTTTATATTTCAAATATTAAAATCCATTGAACATTTTTATCACCATAAATACTGTTACCGTAGTGAAGTAATCGTGAAGTTGTGGGTTCAGAGGTTTGAGCCGCGGGCCCGACGTTGTGTCTTTGGGAAAGGCACTTTACACGAATTTTCGTCACTTCACCCAGGTGGAAATGGGTACCCGGCCATAGACGTTGAAAGATCTTGTCAGTATGTTCGTGTTTTAGCACCTATAAATGGCAGCTTGTACTGTATGCTTCCCAGGAAGTTGAGCTTGTTTCAGAATACTCTCCTGTCTGCTGGGGTGATAGTATAGATTGTAAGGCGCATAGAGCTAGCTGTTGAGTGGGGATTTGCACTATACGAATGCTGTCTATCATTATTAAAATAATGTCTTTGTGTTTCAGGAGGGACCACACTGCATGATAACAGAAGATGAATTTTATGACGCTGTTGATGCTACTTTAGATAAACTGGAAAAGGAAGAGGAAAAGGTTTGTTTACTTTTAAGATTTTTCTGACCCCTTTTGATTTAGGTCTAATTAATACACTCGTTGCTTACCAATTTTATGTCTCTATTGCAGCAATTATTTCGATCACCCTGAGTAGGATGGGTTGGGTGTACATTGCACTGTGTCATCTGAGATAGCACTGTCTTCTTCTTTGTTAATTATATAATGATACTAAACTTCTTTTCAAATGCAGCAGTTACTCAAAGTTCTCCCGAGTTGCCAAAGAGTGAGTCTATCTTACAGTAAACATTCCTGAAGCAAATGTTCTGTTGCCATGGTTGTCATGTTGCATGGACTTTTCTTTCACAAGCGATGTATAAAGATTTGGGTGCTTGTCTGTTATTTTAGAAAATATGCCCACCAACTACTTTCATTTAGTATTTTTGCTATATCTTCACTGTTTGTTGAAGACTTGCAAATAATTAGCAGTTTTCATGTTTCATTTGTGACCTGCATCTGTCAGTTGATTATTTTTCTTTTTTTTCATTAGACACAAAACTGTATGAGTTACAACACAGGAAAGAGCTATAATTTGAGTTGTAAATAATTCGTATTAGCTAAGAGTATAAATGCTCGATGTGGAAAGATTAATTACAAAAATTGCTGTGACATCAGAGATTTTTTTACCCAAAATTTTTGTTACATAATTTGTGGCTCTCTCAGGAACATTCTAATGTGTCTTGGCAGAAAATTGCACAGATTGGGTTCTGTTATGACCTTTTTATATTTAATTTTCATTTGTCTGTTTTTCTAGATACTGTTACTTTTTTTTATAGAAATTGTTTTTTCATTTCCACATGTTGAGCAAAAGCTCTTTCTTCATTTTCATTTGTTGCAAGGGAAATACACAAAGAATTAAGAAGGTTTTAGAACTCTTCAATTTGGTGTTCCATGTTGAAAATGTTTTGTTTTGCTTGAATACTTTTGTAGTAGAAAAACTTGTCTGAAATTGTACAGAAATGTTAACAGATTTCAGCATTTTCCTTGGCACTAAAAAGTAAATGGTTTTGTAAATCAAAAAGTCATTCCTCACTAGGCCAAACATCATATCTCATGTCAAGTTCATGCAAACTCCATGCCTACATTAGTTACTTTGTCATGTTTTTTCTGTATATTTTTATCTAGAAAAAGAACACAGACTCCCCGAGCAAACCAGACCATGCAATATCATTGGCTCCATCTCACCATTATTACAAAGAGGTACGTTTTGATTCTCATTTGTGTATGATGTCATTATCCAATGCCTCCTCTTCAGTGATTTTATCTTCTTTAAAAAGAGGATTATCTTGCATTAACATGATGTCGGTTACTTGTGTAACAATTCAAATTTAGTTTGAAATAGATGAAAAATAAGTAAAAGTGTTTTGTATGCAAAGTAAAAAAATAAAGCCCCTTCGTATTTAAGTAATTTCACTCAAATGTATATCCCACGAAGATCTCTCAAATCAGGAGACCAGTATAGGAAGGGAGGTCAAAAATTTGCTGGGAGGTCCTTTTCTCATTTCTCTCCGTTTGTCTGGAACTGTCCCACAGGATTTAAACCATTTGCACCTCAATTGCCTCCCTGAGAAGGCACACCCACCTGGGCTGCCTCTAGCCACACCCAAAAATTTAAGTATCCACACTAAAACTGCAATAACTTTTCCTCCAAACAGCTACATAAGCGTATTGAAGTGCACGAACGGTAACTCTAAAGTAGTTTTTTTTTCAACTTGGAAATGATGGACTGGAGCAAGTTTTAGAGAGACATAGAGGGATTCAGAAATATACTTTATGATGTGCTGTAAACTCTTTCTAAAACTTAAACGAAATGCCATCTTGATAGTTCATCATATTCATAGTACTCTCATGTTCATAATGTGATCTGCATATCGTCATAGAATGGGCTATGATAACCTGAATGTCTACTTGCGCGTTACCATTAATCAAAAGAGCATATTTGTATGCATGTTCATTGTATTTTGTGTTAAGATGAAGGCATTGTAAAGCATAGAGAGCTGTTTTGCACTGGAGTGAGCACCATAGAAATTATCTGCATTATTATCTGTAAAAAGTTAATTGTAGAAGTTTTAGCATTTCTGTTCAACCCTATTCTAATGAATAAGAATTTTCATTGTACTTTACTTTCTGCTTTTGTTTAGATGTCAAGGACTGTCTTACTTAGTTAATGTACTTGTTAAGGATGATGTTATGATGCTTGGTTTCAAATAATTGTTTTCATTTTTTTTTTTCAGTTTGTGAACTTCAGATTTTGAGATTTGAGATTGAATTTGCTCTTTCCTTTTAGATTAATGAAGTTGTTGACAATCATTTGAGGCGTCTTTTGACTGAGCCAGCAGAGGAGAAGAATGGGTGGACGTGTATCGTGGACCAAGGGGACCTCAAAGTGTTTAAGAGGGAACTGGAAGAAAATGGCGTGCCTATCGACCCAATGAAGGCTGTTTGCACTGTGAAGGTAAAAGGCAATTTATGTGATGTATTATAATTATAGATCGTGTAATGAAGTGAGAGCAGCACATTCTGCTCAGTTATTGTGCAGATTCTTAGAATGCATTTTGTGTCTGCTGTGAGAAGATGGAGGGGTAGTCCAGATGTCTTTTTTTTTCAGAAAAGTAAAATAGATAATGATCCACCTCTTCATAGGTGTAATCACACAATGGAAACATCAGGGAATGCTGTCACCAGTTTCACTTCCTGTAAACACTAACTGAACAGGTTTACTGACAAGTGAAAGATTTGGGCTTATGTGTTTCAGGGTAGATGGTGGAGTAAGCGAAAAATTTAAGTTTCTTTAAAAAGTGGCTTTTGTAAACATGTTAAGACTGAACAAAAGATGGGTAGTTGGTGGGTGCTCTGGTGTAGTTTACTCCTTCTTTTCTACAAAAAATCATTCATCCTCGCTCCCTTTTTTTTTGTTTGCTACCCTTTTGTAAACCCTCTAGTCTTCAGCACTTATTTCACCTAATTGTGTTGCTTGTGCCTTAAAACTTTTACTTGAACTAAATAGAAGAAAAGAAATAGGCTCATTTTTCACTGTCTGCTCTACTTAGAGCACTTAATTGTAGATTGCCTTTCTCAGTCACTGAATTTTGTCTTTTTCTTCAGGGCATCACAGGACATGAAGTCTGCCGGTACTTTTGGGCTTTTGACACACGAATGGAATGGGAAGGTTTGTAATTTTGCTTTCATGATATGGTCTCCATGAAAATGTTATATTGTCTCTAATGTGCTGGAAAAAGAGAACCAGATGTAAGTACCGGTAGCCTCTTTCGGGTTACAGGGCTTGAATTCTATCCACTCTATCTGTGATAGTGTTGTCATATTTTTCTCATCAAAATAACATCACTTGAGATGTAATTTATATGGTAGCTAAATATTCCAAAATGCATATATATACATTGTATAGCTTTGAGTGCTGCTTTTCTTTTTTTGCAATTCCCTCCTAAATCTGAGGGGCAGTCAACTGTTGGTGCTTTAACCTGCAGTGCAACTGATTTTTACGCATGTGACCATTTTTCCTACTTCTTAGGGCACTTTGCCTTCAGGCAGCTTATGATTTCAAACCCTTACTTAACTCGGCACACAGCTGATTTTCTTTCTTTCATTTTCTTTCTTTTACTTTCTTTTACTTTTCAGATCCAGCCGCCATTTGGGTTCTAGCCATTTGGCTTAGTTCATTTTCTTTAAGTCGTCATAATTTCTTTCTGGTCTATGCAATGTGAGAAAAAAAATTAGAGCTATTATAACATGCAAATATCGTCATGAGTTGCAAAATCAGACTGTGAAAGATTTGTTGTTCTCATGTGATTGTTCTAGAAGTATCTGTAATTTGGGTAATAATGGGTGGGGTTTTCTTGTTTTTGTTTGTTGCATTTGTATGAAGTTTGTTTTTTACTCTGTGCAGTATATGATGTCATTTTCAGTATATGTTTCAAATCCAATAAATGCAGGAAATCTGATTATCCGACTCTCATGACTGGTGTGGGATGTACCTCCTGCTATGAAATTCTTTCTGTGACATAGAAGCAGAGTTGAATGTAATTTGCATTTGCTTTCTCTGTGTTGCAGCAACCCTAGACAGCAGCCGAGTGGTGGAATGGCTGTCGGATGACACGTTCATCAGCAACAATGTGATAAAGAGAGTGTGGCCGGCCTCACAGCGAGATGCCTGCTTCTGGTCGCACCTCAGGCACATGTCCAAGAGCAATGACGAGGGACCCGACAGCTGGATAGTGGTCAACTACTCCTGTGAACACCCAGATTGTCCAGTGAGGAGAAACTTTTCTTAAGCCTTATTTTTATGTGCATTGATTTTGAAAGATTATGATTCTCATTTTAAACGATTTTCTTTTGAATGACTTTTTTGAAAGGGAGGGGGAGAAAGATATGAATGAGAAGGAAGTGAAGGAAAATAAGGAGAGAATAGGGTATGGAAAAAAAGCTATAGGGACTGTCGAGGGGGTATGAAGAGGAGATTGAGGAGAAAGAAAAAGAGAAAGTGAAGAATTATTTGTGTCACGACTTGGTGGAATCAGGTACTCATCAGTATTTTGGCAAATGGAGTTATTGATATCATCTTAAAGCTTGTACATTTGTCTTGCTTATGATGAAAAAATACCCTTCTACCTTGAATAGAAGTTGAGTATTTTGCACTTAATGGAAGTAGGGGTCGCCGGGTACCAGAGGTAAAATTAGGGAGAAAATGGCCATGAAAGTTTGGCGACTTCCAAGGCTTGAGAGTCCCTAGAAACCGCAAATTTACATTCTTTGTGTCTTTGATCAATGGTTTTGGGTAAAATCCACACATAAATGTGCTCTTAAATGGACCGGAAAGGTGATGAGCCCGAAATAGAAAAAATCAATAAAAATTGCCTAATGGGAGGGGATGCAGTTTTCTTTGATTTCATCATTTTGACGAGTGCCTGGTTTCACCACGGTGCCTCAATTTTTTTTCCAGGACAGAGATGAGCAGAAAATGTTGAAAGAGACTTGAAAATAAGTCATTTTGACTATGCCCTTAAAAGTATGTTGTTTTTTTTTTTAAGTTCTCTTAATTAACTTTGTTCAGGTCGAAGAAAAATGTTTTTGAGTTCTGTGGCCCTTGTGCGCTGAGATATGAATGGGAATAAAATCTTGAATGATTTAGTCCATTTCTTATCGCTTTGCAGCCAAACACCTATGTGAGAATAACCATGAATGTGGCCCTTATCTGTGAGACGATCATAGAACCACCAGCCGATGGGGAAATATCAAGGGACAACATCACATGCAAAATAACGTACACAGCTGATGGTGAGTAGTATATATAGGCTTGTTTTCGTGCTGACATACATGGGCTTACAAAATTTTGTAACAGAACTGTGAATGGGGCATTTTGATAATACAACTGTGGAAAGAGGTTCAAGTTGTGAACTTTGTTTGCATTCCAGATTCCATGTTTTCTTTTTTACTCTTGCTATGGGCTTCAGAGAAGTATAACATCCCGCAAATAATGTCAAAATGAACGAAAGGGCCATTCCGTGAAACAGGAAAATGTAGTGACACAACTAATGCAGAGATGAACTGCTGAAAAAAAATATATGCTGTGATGGAGCCATTCTTTACTTTATTATATTTTTGTAAGAGGCAACCTTCCTCTAAGAAAAAAACAAAAACAAAAACAGGCTCTTTTTCTGTTAGGAGGGGTGGGGGGGCTACACCCTCAAAGTCAAGATTCAGCTCAATATTATGGAATTTGAGTTGTAGGCATTTTTAGCTTCCTCAGCCTCTCCTACAACTATTTCATTGTATAAGACCCCCCAAAAAACATATTTTTCCTCATAAAGTAAATATTTAATTTTTCTTTATGCGGTTTTCTCAAAACGCAACTTTTCTCTATACTTTTTAAAATAACTCCCCCATTTTTCGTCCAATCTTCATGAAATTTTCACGGAATGAAGAGAAAATGTAATACTAAAAATTTGTGTGTTGAATTTTTTTTATGTGGAATAGATTTTTGTTGGTGGTGTCTGGAGTGTGGATTTTCATGGATTTTTTGCAAACTTGAATGCTTCCTCAGGAAAAAATTCATAAAAAATTTACTAATTAGTTTTGGAAAAAAACAACAGACAAATTTTTAGATGTAATGTTTGTTAACACGCATGCAAAAAACAATCAATTTCCATTAGCGATAAGTGCGGTATTCATTATGTAAAACACGCCAACAAAATCCAATATGGCCGCCCTATCCATGGAAAGGAAACTTTTTTCTCAAATTTGATTGCGGATTTTAAGAGTCCTATGCTTGTTATATATGTGAAATTTGGTAAAATTCGGTCCTGTAATAAGCGAGATAGCCTTCAGGTGTAGCCCCCCCCCCCCTTAAGATTTTTTTCAGCAGGTCATCATCCCCGCCTTACGTATGTCAAAGTAGTTTCATTTTTCATGGAATGACCAGTAATATTCCACGAGGGCATTGATAATAGGTTTAAGTAATTGAATTCAGTCGTGTAGATTTACTTCTTACGCTCAGACAATTGTTTGTCTGTTTTAGAAGACCTGGGATTTGTTACAACAGATCACTTGTTGAAAACCAGAAGTGACTGGTCCCTTCAAGCATTTTGTGGTTTGATTGTTTTAATTTCAGTTTTATTTTTTGTATGGGTACTTGTCTTTTGTCTTTTCAAGCAAATGAATTACAGCTGGCACAGAACTGAATGTATAACAAGAAATTATTTTGTTCCTTTTATTTAGAAAGTGGCTGACATCGATTTTGCTATAAAAAAAACTTACCTGAAACAATAACCAAACCAGATCCATTCATATAAATTCTCAACCTCTGTCCTTGTTTGAGTTAAATGCCCATTTAGTTCTTTTTGAAGGCAAAGCTTTTATCTGAAAGGTGGAGAAGAAGAAAGGAATGAATAAGGGTAGAGTTTATACAATGAATTAAATATCATAGATTTTGTACATCTGAATATAGATATTCAGTTGCATGCTGTTACACCAGAGAATGCTCATTCCGTTGGTAATCAATGGATTTCATGTTAATTTCTTCCTGAGAAAAGGCGAGTTGAACATAGATTCTTATAAAGAGAGATAATATTTTTGACAATACAATTTATTCTATGTATCAGAAAGAAATTTCAAGTTCCTTTTAGCAATTTTCCAACTTGATAGTGGTTACTTTTTTGTCCCATAAATTTCCCGTACACTTAGTAAGCTTTATTGTGTAGATGTTCTTCTTTTTACCTCTAAGAAACTGAACAAGTGTTGGAATGCAAATTTAGAATGTTCCATGTGTCTCTGTTTATCTGTCACAGTCAATCCTGGTGGCTGGGCACCAGCATCTGTCCTAAGAGCTGTTTACAAGAGGGAATACCCCAAGTTTCTGAGACGCTTCACCAGTTTTGTGGCAGACAAGACAAAAGGCAAAGACATTCTGTTCTGAGAGGCTGTGCTGATCACTTTACTGCTAGCCATGACTCACATTTAGAGATACTTTTTCGGTATTTTCAGGTTTATAGGATTGAAGAAAATTTGCTCAAGATTTGTTCTTCTACCTTTGGATGTTTTACACTAACACTGTCAAATCTGCACATGAATTTTTTGGCCTGCTATGAACTGTGTTTTGTATGAACTGTGTTTTGTATATATATTCAGTTCACAGTTCACCTGCAAATCAGTAGGAAAAAGTGATGAAAGAAGGGAGACCAAAGATCGATAGGTTTATATTACTGATGTCAGGTACCTGTTAAAATTCTCCTAAATGTGCTGCATGGTGGTTACTCTGGTGAGAAGTACCTTTTCTTATTGGGAATAGCAAATGGTTTGTTGTGAATGACAAAGCAAAACTACCTTTTTCAGCGCACACCATCCGTCGTATTGTTGTTCTTCCTGCTTTGTTTTGTCAAACTATTTATCTGGCAGTTCTTCGCTATTCTGTTAAATTCGATCATATCTTGTAAATGTCATCTGTCCGAATAAAGTGAAAGATTGGCTTAGCTTTCTGTGGAACTTTTTATAATTAAAAAATGATATCGGAGGTTTATCGTATGATTTAATCAGTAAGTTCAGCGACATTTTGAAGTTCTGTATAAGGTTAATTTTTTTCCTCCGGTTTGAATGATTTTTTAATGGAAATTTGTGCTCTTGGGCTGAATTCTATTTTGTTAAAACAAAGTGTTTCCATTGTTGACTGTATGTCTTTCTTCCTGCATTTGAGACCAAGACTTTTGAGTTGTAAAAAAATGTATCCACAACTTTTGTCTTGTGTCAATGTTGACCTTTTGGGTGGGATCAGAAGATAGTCCCAGAGAATCTGAAATAGTCAAGTATGTTTCACAGAAGAGAATCCCCCCCCCCCCCATAAATGCATCTTTTCAATTGCTTTCTAAACCAGTTATTCAGTTTTCATTTTAGTTTTCAAATTATGTATTGTACAAAAGGTAAGCTTCTGTATTTTTCCTATGCAAGTCAATGTTAACTTGTTTTAAAACAGTACCCAGAGAGTTTGTTCAGGTTGGCTTGGTAACTTGCCGAGTGTCTGTGGTTGACTTCATGTTCATACTGTAGATTCCGACTCGGCAGTTTAGTGAAGAGGGAGAAAGTCCACAGATTTGAGACCTGTTGTCTGTGGCAAGAGTTTTTGAAGGAGGAGAGTGTAATGCACTACTTTTGTTCAGATATTGTGGTTTATATACGTGTAATTTTTTTCCTTCTGAAAATGAAGTGTAGTGGAATCATCAGTATTGTTTTTTTGTGTAAACATGTCTTTACTATGAGAGTTACATTGTAAGTGTGAACATTCACTTGAGAGGGACATAAGTGAATTTGTATGGACGGGGAACAAGTTATGAATGTGTATAGGCATAGTGGTGGCGTGGTGAATGGCCTTGCATTGCTGCATGGTAAGAGTATATGTCTCAGCTGTCTGGTATGTGATCGTGTGATGAATACGAGATGACAATATGTCTTCTCCTGAAACAGGTCATACATGTGTTCACTTGACTGTTTATGTGACTTTATGGGAAATGTAACATTGTGCAAGTAACACTATCATAGAAAACCATTTTTATTGATCTTTTAAAGGCTTTTTATAAGAATTCCTGCTGGTTGGTTAATGATGCTTTGTGTTGCTAAAGCTGTGGTATTTAACTTATTAAATGATTAGTTATTGGTATTTCTAGAGTTTGGTATAACTATTTTTACAAAAGAATTGCTTGTGCTATTATAAGATGGATTTTGCAACACGTCAGATTGCTAATTATATAGCAGAATAAAAGAAATAATGGCCACAACTAGTTTTCTTAGGAAGTTAATCAAAAATAAATGCCGCAGAGAAGTGCAGGGAAAGGCGAGAGTGTGTGGAATATCAGTTTAAGTCCCACACCTTGTAGTTTTTTGGGGGTTTTTTTCCTCCCTTTGTTGTACAGGTAACTTGATACAACAGCAATATGTGCAGTTTTCTCAAGATCGGCAATAATTTGCTTCTGCTTGATGGCTGCCGAATAGTAAATGAAGTGTGCCTTAGATGTTTGGAAGTTGGATAAACTGTAGTTGTGTTTTGAAGCTTTCAAATGAACTAGATTTGTTTTGTTTATAACTTTTAAAAATTAATGGGATGTATTGTGGTACAAATACAAAGTTGTTTGCAACTAGTATTGTAACAATGAAATAGTATGTGTTCGTTTGTATCATTTTTTCATATGAAATAATGCGCTATGTTGAACTGTCTATCAATAGCATAAAAGTTTTTAATAGATTTTTGCAGGTTTTTTTCTTTCTTTTCAACTGGTAACTAGCTTAATACTAATAGCTTATGCTTTGCGCTTAAAGTACAGTAATATCCCTCATTTGTACTTCCTACTTTAATGCACTTTCAGATACAGTTTACTTGGTAGTAGGTCTTTTATTCTCTTTAAAAAATGCGAATAACTAAATAAGAATTGTATATATATATTTTTTCCCCCCCCTTTAATTCTATATGTATGAACAATTTCTTAATTCCATGAAATATTGCTGCTAGAAGGCAAACATTCATCAAACAGTCAAGTATGATGAAAATATAGGTTTTGTTGGATGACTTGCGTTGTTTTTGAATGCTGATTTTCTTTGACACCCAATTTGATGCTGCCATCATATATTTGTTTCACAATTACCCTTTTTGAGTTGAGAGGATCACATCTTTACATGGTTCAAACTGCTTTAGAAGTGGCGGTGGTTGACAAGACCATACCTTTGATGTGGGTAGCCATTACTGTTTAGTAAATTTACTGTGTGTTGGACATGACAGTCTCAACAGCAAAGTGTAATCCTCTCATATTTCCTAGGGGATGCAGCTATTTGCCATATCCAAAGGGACAGATTTATCAGCCAATTTCATTGGTTTTCGTGCAATGGCTGTTCAATTTCATGAAAAGCAACAGCAATATAGTGAATACAGGAAAATCCGGGATGATGAACTAGTCATACTATTGGATGCCAGTTTCCAAGTATGTGATATCAAGTTTTATGCAAAGCAGTATTTTTTCTGTGGATGCTAAAAGGATTGCCTCATGGGTTTCTTGAATTTGTATTTTGACTTGTGTCGGCTTTTATTTTACAGTGCACTTTTCTCCTCGTTTTTGATCAATATAATGATTTTTTTTCTCGGATAGGATGACCCATTTCTCTTCCTAAAGTCTGACGTTACATGTAAAGTGTAAATGAACTTTCAGACATGTTTATAAATATAATGCGCTTTCCGAAGTGAACAACTTAAGATGTCTCCGCCCTTAGGGAATAGGGAAAGTCATAGTGTTGTGTTAGCAGAAGTGAGAGATTTATTGTTACAATGATTTATTTCTCTTTAAGGAGGGACTCTCAAGTTTACAGTGTTATTCTTGTAATATTCCCAGGTACACATTTGAATTCAGGCATGTAGAGAAGATGGGTTGGGTTTTTTTCTATGCTCAAGTATTTTTTATTTTTCCTCTTCGAGATCTGACATATGGGACTTTGCTTTTTGTCATTACCTTTAACAGGAGTATTTTCTTTCATCGTGTCAAAAGGAAACAAGGCTTGGGGTGCGGGATATGTGCTGTGTTTGCACAGGAAATGGAATTGCTTTGCCAAATAAATGAGGGAGAGAAAGATTAACCCTACTGAGTAAGAGGTTTATATAGCTACCTATTGTTGAACTTTGAAGTGTAACATGTGTGCTTATATTGATACTCATTCGCTTAAAATGTTTTGAACTTTGTACAACACAAAATGTTTTATATTTATTTTCATATTCTTTATAAACTTCTGTGCATTCAAATTGTGTTTTTGGGCTGGTGGACTTCTTGGATGACTGTTTGCTCATGAGATGTACAAAGCTAACACATTTCAGACTGATGATGATGATATATCTTTGTTAGACAATATCTGTTCAAGTTTTTACTATTGATTTATTTCTTCAAATTGCTTTTCTGGTCACTAGTTATTATTGTGTAAGCAGAATTCCCAGCTTTTTTGGGTTTTTTTTTTATGTGAGCAAAAAGAAAACTGTAGACTCTGATTTTGTTGTGTATCTGTAGTCTGCAAAAAAGTCTGAAGTGTATTGAGAATAACTATGATTATTGAAAAGGTAGTTTGACCTTGTTGGCCATTCATAACACAAACAAAATTAAGTTCTCTTTAAGGTGCATAAACAAACTGATAAACAAAGATTTGGCTGAAGTTGTTGAAGCTTTCAAGTCTGTTTAAAGCACTTGTACAATTCCCGTCCAATTTTGTGTGATCTAATCTTCAAAATGGCTGTTGTTTTTCAGGCCATATTTCTCTAAATTGGTCTTTTTTTTGGCTCAACTCGATTTTAATGTCCAAAATAAAGCATGTTTATTTTTGGGGGAAACTGCAAATTAGAAAGAGACCATGTGACATATGAAGGGATGAATTTGCTAGCTCCACCCTTACGTTTGTGCTGCCACTATTTGCTTTCACAGTGCTGTGAGGTAGGTGTCTGCCATGTGTAGTGAGTCTGGATTAAGCAAATTATGGATCAATGATCAAGTTTGACAACGGTGCACTGGCTAGTGTGTCTTTCTTGAGTTAACTTGATCTTCCTGAACCGACTAGTAGAATAAGTGGACACTGCTTTTTTAGATTTTCAGTATGCTTTGACTAGCATTATGCCAGTGATTCATCTTTGACATTTTTTTTTCCATCTGCACCTCTATTAGTAGCGCTCCTTTAAGCAGAGTTTACACTCTCTTTGATTTCTGTGTGCTAACTTTTAATTTTAATTAGCAAGTACAGACTGAGGTTAAGTTTTGATTCTCCACTGTAAAGAATAGTCTTCTTCTGGTGTGATACCAAAATATCCATAGCAATGTGTTTCTGGGGCTATCATAACATTATTTTCCTCTCTCATGACCCTTAAACGGATGTATAGACTTTAACATTTTTTTCTTCTGATTTTTAAGGTTTTTCATAATTTGCTTCCCTTTCATGTGGCGCGATGGAATTCAGGAAAGGCCATCAAGATCTGAATCCGGTTCTGAGCTTTAGGGTTATGTAGAAAGCTTAAAGGCCTTCTGCCTTTGTATTTTCTTTGAAAGTCCCACGACCCTTAGATTACTTACAATGTGTAAAATTCAATCTCCAAAATCTCAGTCTTACAACTTGAGTAGTAGTGTCTTACCCCTTTTGAATTAAAATAAATTCTCACTTCTTTCAAAAGGGATCTAGGATTCCACTTTCCGATTTCTGCCTGGATTTTTTTTCATACATGCAGTGAATTTTCGTCACCCTTTAATGTCTGGATTAAAATTTTTAGGGCTATTATTGGTACTCTGTGCTCAGGGGAATAATTTCCTACTTTTTTATACTTCCCGACAATAATAGAGAAAATGTAATAACTTATTGTAGCATGGAATTTTTGATGTCAAGAGTAGTATGTATAGATGTTTTTTGCTTGAAAAGACTTAATTTGTTTGCTTTGTTTCGCTTCAGTCGGGACCTGAAAAAAGTTTCTTGTTTTGACAAAGAACTGTCGCAGCTCTGGCTTGATGAGTAAAATATAGACAAATGGAAGAAGCAGCAGTAGAAAAAAAAGAGAACCATTAATATCTCTCCTCAGTCTTCAATCTTCTGGATTCTCATATTCCATCTGTAGTCGTTTAGTCTCAGCCTTGTAAACGTGAAATTATCTCTCATTTGATTTATATATATGAAAATGTTAAAAATCTATTACAAAGCTATATTTGACTACATTGCTCAGGTACAAAATGCACAGTTCACTTTGAACTCTTAGCTGTTGTCTTTAATTATAATCTGATTTTTCCCCCCAATCTGCTTGTCCAAGTATTTTGTCTGTGCAGTGACCATATGTTCCCTTTCTGCTGCTGATTAATTATATCTTTTTAACTCTTTTCTTGCCCCTTTTCAATGATGTGCTTGAGTTCGTGAAACAGTTTGGGGGTTGTTTGGGTATAGCCTTGTTCCTGACTTGTTCTTTATGTCGTTGAAGGTGTCAGAACTGACAAATTTGATTATACTACTACCTAGGTTGTGGCTCGGAAATTGTGGCACATTTATCAGAAGATTTCTATGTAAATTCATGTATGTTTTTTAAAAATCCCCCCTCTCTCCCCCTCCCCCCTTGGTTTCATTCATGACAAATTACATCATGTAATTTCTTCTTCATCATTACTGTTCATGTATTGATACTGATGCAACATAGCTGGTGGCTGTGAGCTGAAGACTTGACCAAAATGGGGAAGTTTGAGGTTAGAATCTGAAGTAGGGTAAGAATTTTCTTGCACTACCTGGAATATTTCCCTACTTTTTGTTTTTCCTGATTTAAGGGGGCGGGGGGGGGGGGGGGGGGGGGCACTTAGGCATAGACTTGATCTGCCCAGTTGAGCAATTGGATGAAAAACGGACAATAGTGCAAAAGACTTAAGTTATGTTCCCACCCCCATAAACCATATGACTATCCTATTGTTTTACAATCAAAATTGCATTTGAGGAGACATCTGGGTAACTTAAGCCTCAGGGCAAATGAAATGAAGAATTTTATGCACCAGCCTGGAGGAGGAGATGAACTGAAAGCATAATTAATTTTTTTTTAAAAACTTGCTGGAAGATTTAGTGGATAATCTTTTTTTCGTATCGGTACATCGAGTTCACCCTCTTTTGTTTCTATTTTCCTTTAGGGTTCTTTTACTCATAGTTTAATTTCACTGAAGTTATTGTTATTTTTGTTTTGGGACTCGGCTTCTTTTTTTTCTCCAGGGGGGGGGGGGGGGTCGGAGGGGATGTTGAGGTTTGCAAGGTTCCTGAAATGGCTTTTCTACTTTCTATGTGAAACAGCAATAGTGCAGTAGATTAGGAGGTTTTCTTCCTTGTTGACTAACAAAAGATTTAGTATATTTAGTACGGAGGATTTAACAAGTTAGTTCTCTTTTGAATGGGGGGGTGAAAAGTATTCCGGTTCCCCAATTTTAAAATCATAAATAATAAATGCTCTCCTATTCTTATCCTTTATTTTCAATTCTTGTTCTATGCTCCTGGATAATGCCAGTTCCAGTGTACATGATATTAATGTAAAAACTCTCTTTTGCCGTTTTGTGTTTCTTTGTTTTCTTCAACTATTTTGAATGATCATGTGAGACTGAAATCTGTACTGAGTGAGAACAAGTTTTGTACTGGTGCATATGGCTGATGAATTGACTCCTCTTAATTTTAAAAATGTTCTAGACAGATTATTTAAGGTACATATTTTAAGTTGATTATGGCAAGGCTATATGCACAGAATCAAGACAGTTCTGAGCGGAAGTGACAGACGGTGAAATCAAAATGAGTCATGCAGATCTTTGTTTTGGTCCACTCCTCTTCAGCTTCCGTGGGAAAATTGTAGTGTATTTGATGTAATGGAAAGAATAGAATTGTGGTTGTTAAGAGGCAACAGTAGTACTTCATGCTCAAGAAACAGTTTCAAGACTTCTATAAGGGGAGAGGGTTTTGAGATTTACAATGTTTGGTGTTATGGATAAGTAAGCTGTATCATTTACAAGTTCTAGGCTTGTGGTTTAAAGTATAATTTATACAGATTTTCAGGAACTTACTCAATCTAGAGTATAGGTTTTTCAAGAGTGGAGTGTTATGTCTACATACAAGTTTTCAAAGATCTTATGGATTTTTTTCTGTATCAAAAAGACTTGTATTAATGAGTCTAGCAGTTTGTTCTGTACCATCTGGAAATGTCAAGCTGCTTGTTTTTTTTTACTATCCTGTCAATATTATTTACACAAAAAGTAAAGGTCTAAAGCATTTTTCACCAATCTTCAAAACCATATGTCTTTTTTCTCTTCTATGTGAAAGTTCTTGTATTGTTTTTGGTTTTAAAAAAATACTTGTTTGTATATTTTCCATACTTTATGTAATTACTTTTTTTTCTGTGGTATTTATGTGTAGATAAAGTCTAAACGTTTTAATCACTTTTAATTGACAAATCATTTGGTATGTTATCAGTTCAAATTCCAGTCAAGGTCAGATTTATTTTCATTCAGTGCACATTCTTTAGGAAAGGTTTCAATATTGCATGAAAAGACTAATATTTTCTCCTTACATCTTGCTTGATTGTCAAAGTTCTTGTGTTAAGCTCTTTCTTGTTCTTTTCAGTTCAACTCATAGGTCTTACGAGTTACTCCATTTCTTTTGTCAAAACGGATTATCAAATGAGCCGAAGATCTATCTATATGATGTCAGTGATAATGGCTGTCCAGATTATTGCATCTGTTTTTGCGTCATCAATAGCTTTGTTAAATGGTATCAAGCTTAAAGATGTCCATTCACAGGCATCTTTTTTAAAACTGTGAGATCATGACCTATAAATCAAAAGCGGTCAGTAGGTTTAAGATATTAATGTTGATTTTATGATCGTTATTCAATCTTTAAGCTGACATTTATTTCCTAGTATAGTTTTATTTTTTAATAAAATAAAGTTACTGATCAGGAGGTTAGCGACCGCCATAGGCAGGTTCTACTTGTTTTAACTCTCCCTCGTTTCTGTCTCTGACTTGCTCTTTTCATGCACTAAATAACTTTTTTCATGTCAGTTGACATGCTTTTTTTAAACTCAAAGCTTCAAACAAGTTGTAGAGAGTGCCATTGGTAAGTGCTTCACTCTCAGTTTTGTTTTTTTATGTTTTGTCTCATTTTTCCCAGCTTTAAATGACCCTTGTAATGTTCAGTTTTCTTGTTTGGTTTAAAGATTGTCTAAACAAATCACAAAGAAGAAGACCTGTGTAAAGTGATGTAAGATACGAGTGTGTTGCATCCTTTTGAGACTTCCATGGTATCCACTCTAAAGTGTGCGTACATTTGTGCATGTTGTCCTTCGTCAATGTTTTTTTTTCTGTTATTTAGTGCACTGAGTGTGGTTAAAACATTTTTTGTTCCTAGTGTTAAGAAAAGCCTCTGGCACAGTGTGGATTTCTCACCTATTTGCTGTGTCAAAGAAAAAAAAATCAAGAAAATGCTCAATCTGATGTATTTATATTTTACTTTATGTATGTGTATATGAGGTTTTACTTTTCTATCTTAGTGTTTATGTGGGCAGTGATGTTTTTCAGTCACGTGACCCTCTCTGAAACCCTCGTTTAAAAAAAAACAAAAGACTGTGACTGGATACCTGTACCATGATGTGATAGCCCGCATTGGTGCAAGGGGAGGGGGCTTGCTTGTTTCCATGCAAATTCAAAGTTTACCTATATAATGTGACCCTGGAGTTGGTCAGTAGCTCTCAACTGTTCCATTGATTGTTCACGTCATGTAATATTTTAAGTCTGTTTTTAGTCAAAAGTTTTGTGTGTTACTTTTTTTCTGTGTGAATATCAGTGGGTGTTCTGATGTGGTGAATGAGACAAAATAAATATATTCTCCTCTTCTTTTCTTAAAAGAATATTGCGTTTCTTTGCCGTTTCCAAGTGGCTGTTTGTGTGTGTTTGTGAAACATTTATACTGAGTTGCAAAAATTCTGTCACACCCATTGTATTACGATAATTTTCGGGTACAGTCTAAGAATTGCCGTAAAAATTAAAAGTACGACTTGTGTGACTTATGAGACTCCTTGTGCAAGAGCAGACGAAAGAAATCATAAACCGGAAGTAGTGCGTGGACAAAGTGTTGGTATTGATTTTTCTAGGTCTACGTTGAAATCAATACTTCCTACACGCAACATTTGCTTTGAATCACGTAGACAATATGTAAACACACTTAACGCACTATGGAATTATGTACTTTTTTACGGTTGGGTACTTTTTCCACCTGTTTTTTCAAAGTAAAAAACTGATAAATTCAGAAAATAAAGGCGCTGTGTGCATGATAAATTCTTTAATTGCGCTTTCTGCTGTTGCAAGACACGTATGTGTGTAGAAGAACCATCTAACGCTTGAACAACGTTTTAACACCACTAGAACTATCCGAGACAGGCCTAGACCTGGTCAACCAAGGGCGACAACTCGAAGTCAGAAGTGGGTATTTTCAACACCCATGAACAAATCCCGTTCCAACTTAGTGCATAGACTGTCAGGTACTTCGGACTATCTTAAAACACTATTATTAGACATTTATAAGATCGTGGATTACGTGATTATCGCCCTTTGCGTGGAGCCTTTCTAACCCTGTTTCATTGAACAAATCGCCAGATTTTGGCACAACATTGGCAATGAAATTAAAGACGTTGGTAAAGTGTTCTTATAAGCAATGGTTATGATTTTTAATTCGTCGCATTGATGGAAGAGAAAAAGGGTTTAAAAGAAAAGGATAAAGATTTCCCAAAAGTAACGTCCCCCAAGAGACCCGAATCGGTGGCTGAAATGTGATGGTATAGGGTGGAATCTCTGCTCTTTGTCATACACATTTGGTTACTTTTCAAAAAACCTCAAGAGACGACGGTATTGTGACAAAATTCTTCGTTACAGTGACTGCCCTACATGTCACGGATGATGGAATTTGCTAACAAAACAATGTCCGACCACAAATGGCTACGATCAGTGAAAACTCCTTCCAAACTCGTCAAATGGTTGTTCTGGACTGTCCTGCAAGACCAACAAGCCTTAACCCAACAGAACATCTGTAAGATGGCCTTGACTGGAGGATTAGAAACAGGCTGCACTCCGTATAAACTCGTCAGGAACTGAAGACTGCACTTCACTAGGAATGGCAGGGGATTCTTCAAACAACCATAAGGACATTAATTCAGTCAACGAACAGACGTTTTGTATTAGTAATTCAAGCTGAAAGAGGCCACACGCCATACTGAGCAAACTTTGATTTGGATTTTGCAAGGGTCAGTGTGAATAAAATTATCTCTCTTGAATAAAGAAAGACATTTGTCAATTCTTTTCATGTCATGTTGGCAGAAAATGAATAAGGATTTCGTGTACCAAATTTCTCTCAGCTATGTTGAATAGTAAACGAGTTATTGTACTTTTAAGGTGGGTGTGACAGAACTTTTGCAACTCGGTATATTACTGTTCTGTAGGCTCTCTCTTACTATGCGATATATTTGGTCGTGGTGAGATTCTTATTTAAAAAGAAAAGAAGACAACTACAGAAAATTGACCTCACAATCACATGCAGCAGCAGCAGCTCGACAGGCGAGTGGTTGGCGGGTGCTCTGGTGTGGTTTGCTCTTTCTTTCTTATCAAACATCTGTCGTCCTTATCTCCCCTCCTTTTTTGTGTTTATTACTCTCTTGTAACTCCTCTAATCTTCGGCACTTATATGACCTTTTGTGTTGCAAGTGCCGTAAAACTCTTACTAGAACTAAACGAAACAGCAGTTGCAGAAGACATTCACACGCAATTACATGTATTATGAATCTTCACGAACAAATGACATTACATGTAATTGGTGTCATCTGCTATCTCCGGTCGTGGTGTCCACTATGCCGGTCCTGTGTCACCTCAGATGGACTTGTCGTGCAATTTGTGCAATAAATATTGACCTTTTTGCCCTGCTCACTCGTATTTATGTATGCAAGACATAACTGCCATCAGACAAAGCATTAATAATAATTGCATTAATAATTAGCGCTTGTCCACGCTCTACCGTACAG